GATTTGTTTGGGGAAGAATCAATGAATGCTGGTATAGCTCAAATAGTTAACAGACAATCGATGATGTCTAGTTCAAGTGGTGTTCCCTGGGAGTCCACCGCTACTGATGGAAGTCATTTTGTTGCTTACTACGCCCTTCCTCATCTATGGGTGCTTAGGTATCCATCGTCCTGGAGGTGATGGTTGTTTCCCTGATCAAATTTTTGGCATGTATAAAAGGGATATCTGATGCAATCAACCCACCATCCGTCCATCCCTCTGCCACCACCTTCGCCTTCTCCTCCACCATCACCGTCCATAGCGTAACCCTTACCACCTCTATTGCCCACCAAAGCAACATATACCTACGAATTTGAAGTTTGTATAAGAAGCATGTTGGAATACATTCCCGAATAAGCAAATAAATTAATATTGTTAATTACAACTTTCACTATCATGATACACGAAATCGAGCTTCGTAGATCATTCAGCATATCGGGCCTTTCATAGGTTATCATGCATCTTTGGGGGGGGGGGGGGGACAATCGTTGCAAAGGAAACAACAAGCAATTGAAGAAGGAATAGGAAGACGAGTTCCAAAAACTGTACAGAAATGCTTGTAAAAGGACTATATTGCTCTCATGCCAGTAGCATGCGGGCCACTTAACTGGGAATCTTAACGCCCGTCAAGACGAGGACGAGAACTGTAACAAAATATAAACCATATAGTATCTGATTTACTTTCGAAAGTTGACTGATGAAAATTAGTATGTTCGTAAACTTTCAAAAAGATAAATTATGTTTACAACAGGTTTTTACAGTTTGATGGTTTAAAAACGATTTTTTAAACTTTTGTGACCGAATAAAAGATAAAGGGAAATTGCATGAAAAATAACGTACTTTTACTTGATTCCTATTTTGAACAACATACTTTCAAAACTTTCATTTTGATACCTAAAATGTAAAGTTTTAAACAATTAAGTACCCGGGTAACCGATTGAAGCTTTAGCCGGTTACCATGTTGATATGGTATCCAACTCAGTATGGTAACCGGTTAAAGCTTCAACGTGTTACCCGATTACTTAAATGTTTAAAACTTTACATCTTATGTATGAAAATGGAAATTTTGAAAGTGTGTTACTCAAAATAGAATTCAAATTAAAATACGTTACTTTTTCATGTAATTTGTCTAAAAATAAACAAACCTATGGTGCTATTTATTACAATTTGTCCTTTCGGTCAAGTGTGCAGCCTAACTTAGTACATTTACTTACATTATCTTGAAGAACATAATATATGTGTGACAAAATTGATGATAAATTATAGATTAAGACATTAAATTGACGAAAAAATTTACTGACGATATTTTGATGGAAAAAAATATAAATTATAATTAAAAAAAGATAAATTTAGTGCTGAAAATAATAATGGATTGTTGATGAAATTAACATAAAAAATTAAATGAAATAATAAAAAAAAAATCATTTTTTAACGAAAATTCTTAAATAAAAAAAGATTCATTTTATAAAATAAAACACTCTCAGAATTTAAGAGAACATAAAAAATAGGACAAATTGCATAAAAAAGTAACATACTTTGCTTTGATTCCGGTTTTGGGTAACGTATTTTCAGAACATTCGTTTTAGTACTTAAGATGTGAAGTATCAAACATTAAAATTTCTAGATAATCGGTTTAAGAATTAAACAGTTACCAATGCTGATCCAACATCCAACTCAATGTTATTTAGATAGTAACATGGATTTTTTTTTAAAACTAATTAGTTGTTAATTTATATATTTTATTAGAATTCATATATTATATTTATTTATGTAAAATATATAATTTACAAATAGTTATAATATATAAATTCTAATAAAATAAATAAATTTGAAACGGTTTTTAAATTTAAAAAATCCATTTTACTAGTCACGTTAGCAAATAATATTGAATTTAATGCAACTTCATTTGTCATATCAGCATTGGTAACCAGTCAATACTTAAACCGATTACTTAGGTACTTAAATGTTTAAAACTTCACATCTTAGATTCCAAAACGAGATTTTAAAACTACGTTACCTAAAATATGAATCAAGACAAAGTATGTCACTTTTTCTTGGAATTTGCCAAAAAAATATATTATATTTTGCATTTTTTTCTTTCCTAGTGATAACCAATACATTCAAGTTGTAGTCATTTTATTCTTTTTCTTTATATTTTTCTTGTTTCTTTTTTTTATTTTAATTAAAAAAAGAATATTTTATTGTGAACTCGAAATTTCACTTATCAGATTCCATTGGGGAAGACATTGTTTTTCAATTGGAAGGGACCATGCTCTTTAGCACGAGATTTTGAGTCTTGCGTGTCTACCATTTCACCACAAAGACATCTTGAAAGTGAATTCATCGAGTTGTTCCAAAGAATCAAAACGAAGCTCAAGGTTTAATGTCGAGTTTTTGGATATGAATAATCCGAAAATAAGTGTACTGTTGAAGAGGACTACTGCTTCCATAAAAATACTTCATTGTATAGCATTAGCAATTATTAAAACGGAAAGTCAACTTTTTGAGGAAAAATATATAAAGGTCAACTCAAAATATTTAAAGTTCCTAAAAAATAATGTTTAGAGAAAAAAAAAATACGTGTTTAGAGTTCCTTGAGTCTAAAGATTTCAACTACTGAATGTTCGTTAAAAGTTTGTACTGCTTGCTTATAAAATACAATCTGATGAGCATCTTTATTGATAACCTGTTGTTTTTTATATAAAAAGCTCAGTTGTTATTAGTTTGAAAACGAGAGTTAAGGGATAGTTTCAATTTACACAAGTTCTTGATCTTAGTTACAGTAGAGTAGTTTAGTAGTAATTTCTAGTTTACATTCAAACATTTATATTTCATTAATTTTTTTGATTAATTTGGATATCCAACTCGCTATGCGATCCGACTAATCACAGAGTGACTACCTGCAAAGCAGGTAGCCCAGAGTCACCGCATTTGAACCTTTGTGGCCACATGAAGATTTTTATTCTTGCTTGAATTTAAACTTGAGACCTCCAGTCATTTTTGACCTTTGGAGCTAAGCTCAAACCAATCAGGCACCACACTTGTTGTTTTATATTTCATTATTGTAATCTACTTTCATAGCTTTATATCATAACGTTTTCTTTAATTTTACTTTTATCTTTGTATTTTTGTTGTTGTTGTTGTTGTCTAAAAGGTAAAACCTACTGTTGTTGATGTTTCAGAATTGTTACATGGATTGATCTGTAGTGTTATATATATATATATATATATATAGGGTTGGGTTCACGTGAGACCAGCCTGTTTTCGTGAGACCCGTGAGACCAGCATTTTACACGTAAACTTCACAGCAAAAACACTGTGAAGGTTTAAAAAAAGTCGAACCTTCACAGCAAAAACACTGTGAAGGTTTTAAAAGTCACCTTCACAGCATTTTTGCTGTGAAGTTTACGTGTAAAATGCTGGTCTCACGGGTCTCACGAAAACAAGCTGGTCTCACATGATCCCAAGTCTCTCTCTATATATATATATATATATATATTGTTATTTAACTTGTATGCACTGTTAGGCTAGTTTTTAGTAGTATACTAATGTGTTAACTCATACTGATAAAAGCAGTATTTTGTGGACAAGTTGATTAACTCATAAAAGTGTTGAAATGTTGCTTGAATGAGGAGCACAAACAACACAACCTGTATGATGCAAATGCAAAGTCATAATCAAAGTAACAAAGGAATTTGTACTTGTTTTGTATGGCTTAAAGAAATATAGGTCGTGCCAGGCCTGATATCATATCTACAAAAGAATATGAGAACAAACATATAACGAGAGCCTCCTAAGTACTGGAAAGTGTTTATATAAACGAACAGAACAGAGTTACGATCTTGCAACACTGTTGTGATGTTGTATAATACCCTTTGTATTGGTTTCAATAAAACTCGAAGGAATTCATGTTTTTGGTTTACTTTTTGTTTCTAAACCAAACAAAAACCCAAAAATTAAGTTTTGACCTCAATATTTGAAGTTGGTATTTCACCTTGATATCATACAACTTTGAAAACATATTCATGTGGATTTTGATGCTTGTTATTTGTCGTTATATTATTTGTTAAATATAATTGTACAAGAAAATGTATACTTGTGATATCTTGTTACTGATTTTTATATGTATACAAACATCTTTAAGGTTTTAAATTTCACGCAAACAAGCAGATGGAACAAAACTTGATCCAGACTGTCGAAACTGAATAACTACATCAGGATCAAGAATAAACCCGCCTATGATTTGTTTAGTTCTTGTACTAGATTTATCAAAAAAGTAGTTTTTGGTTGAATTTTTTCCCCAAAAAAACAATTCTCAATTCGGTATAGTACGTCTTGTTCAAGATCGGATTCGAAAAACTCGAAACAAAACTAAATTAGGTTTATATTTTTCAAATTAAAAAAAAACCCATATACATATTTGGTTAATGGTATAGTTTCAACGTTTTTCATTTTTCAATGTCCAGTTTTGGTTTCATTATTTCTATCTTGGTTTGATAATCCTACGGTATTGGTTTAGGGGTCGTTTACCAAACGTTTATCCGAGTAAGTACTTACCAAGTCTCATTATCTTACCAGATGAATGGTAAAACACCAAAAATCTTATTTGATAAGAGCAAGGTAAGTGAAAGCGATGACTTTTACCATAGTTAGCGTTTATCGGATAAATTATTGCATAAGATGTCATTTTGGTGGACTAAAATCTTACCCAGTAAATAAATGATAATGTTAAATTTTACCGACAAACATTCACCAGATAAGCGTTTGGTAAACGACCCCTTAGTCTGGTCTAATGCACACCCCTATATTTTGGATATCTAAACATGATTAACAAAAACTTGAGGGGTGTGATTGTGATCTAAGTATAACTTCAGGGTATCAAATGAAAAATGAAAAAATAAACAAAACTAAATGGAGTTGAGATCCACCGACGATACCTGGCCTGACCTCCGTCTCCTCTCCCTCTCTCCCTCTCTCTCTCTCTCTCTCTCTCTCTGCATCACTGAGATCTTACTCTGATTCAAACTCATATTGATCTGCATCTCAATCTAGTGATTTACAACCTATGTACACGAATTACTGACGAATGAGAGTTTGAAATTCTAAAAACAAAAGGGGCATCGCAATCGATTTCACTGAGAATGTTGTGTCATCGTGTATCTGCAGCAGTTTCATTGATTGTCTTGCTTTCGTGCCTTTTCAATGTTGCTGTTGACTGCAAAACGCTAAAAAGAGACGGTAATTGCTCAGTTCTTTTCAGAATTTTCCGTTGGAATTACGTGATTTGTTATTGTTTATATGTATCCTTATCTCGGAGAGGCGTGATTAAATTTGCATTTTGTTTATCTTACAATTGAGAATGCTGTTTATTATGACTACTTGAAATTGCTCTTTGATCCGATGATTTGCAGTGGAAATTGGGCGTTGGCCTGTTAATCGTTTATCATTTTGGCACAATTGACATGTTTTTAAGATTCAGTAGTTCGATGTTTAATTTTAGTGCCTAGTAAGAGTTTTACGGTTGCACAACTGCTCGGATAAATTTAGGTTAAAATATGTAAGCATTTACTAGCAAGAAATTTGATGTTTGGAGTCGAATCAGTTCGATTAGTTTGAATGTTAAACTGATATCAATCATTGGGCATGGAATTGAAGTCCAAAATAAACTTAAGAGAAGATGCTGAGAATCAGCACTCTTCTCGTGACAGTCCTCAAGGAAGTTCATGTACCTGCTCATTTTCTTGCTTTAGTTCAAGGAGTTCTTTTATCAAATCCGTGAATCTTTTTTTTTTGTTGCCTTTTTTGATGTATCTAGTTCTACTATGTAAATTGATTTTACTATGAGAAAATTATGAAAATGGAAGTATACAATTAACCTGTCTTGGAGTGGATGAATAGTGTCTCTGTTTGACTGTAGTGAAAGCACTTAACGAAATTAAAGCATCTCTTGGATGGAGGGTGGTGTATGCATGGGTTGGAGATGATCCTTGTGGAGATGGTGATTTACCAGCCTGGTCTGGAGTCACTTGCTCCACACAAGGTGATTATAGAGTAGTTACTGAACTGTAAGTGTAACTTCATCCTTGCTTGTATTCACATGTTACTAAGTTACAGATCTGTGCAATTGATCTGAATTTGTCTACATTGGATCCAACTATGTAATTTCAGGGAAGTATATGCGGTGTCAATTATTGGACCTTTTCCTACTGCAGTAACCAATCTGCTGGATCTTACGAGGCTGTAAGACTTTATTTTCTTTCCTACTATGCTGTCACCCAGGTTTTTATTGCTGGTGTTAGTTTGGTTGTTTGCTTCAAGGTTTCTAAATTATGATTAAAAGCAATTTCAGCGGGGTTTGGTGTTAACTTTTGTGATAGTCAATTATCGTGGGATAAACTATTTAATATTCTGTTGGCAGGGATCTCCACAACAATAAGTTGACAGGACCAATTCCACCTCAAATCGGACGTTTGAAGCGTCTTAAAGTACTGTAAGATCCTTTACTTGATTCATTAGTACTTGGTAGTAGTCACTGTATAGTTCATAGGAAGCTTCATCATTATACTTTCAAATTTTATCATATTTGTTTGATTCCTTTTCAAACATTTTTTACACCTGGAAGTCTGAATAGTAGCTATAGTGACTTTGATATATCTTCATCATGATTTTGATATATATTTGTTATTTTGTTATGCCTTTGAGAACCTTAGTTGCAGACTTGCAGCCTCAAGCTTCCTCTCTGTAACTTGTCTAATTTTGCATGGAGTAACAAATGAGCATCTTAAAGAGGACTACCGCCAATTAAGTTACTTACATGTTATTAATCCATACAGTGACTTTTTAACTGTATAATCAGCTGTTCATAGGAAATTACAAATAACCACGCCAATATTTAGATGCTCTTTACCTCTTATTCCTACACCGAGTTCACTACACTTTTGCTCACCCTTCTCTAAAATAGGAAAATCAGTATGTTGTAGAACTTTATTCTCACCTGCCTCTAATTGTGGCCACCCTTTCATTTAAATGCAAAATTCCCTTTTGGGTAAGGTTTGATCCAGATTTACTTTTACTACTAGTCATTAATTACATATTATTGGTGAGATTGATGTTTGGTCCATAAAGTTGCTCATTTTTGTCTCCATCGAGGGGCAACTTTAGATATTTGATTAATAGTCAAACACTCAAGTTAAACCACGTGCCAAGTCAATGGCTGTTTTTATGTTGGGTCGGAGGGAGTATTAATTTGACAGTAATCGCCAAGTTATAAAGGGGCACCATTCTTCATTAGTTTCATTACTTTTCATTGCGTGCCGGTTACTCAAACATAATTTGGCCGTTAAATGGCGAGTTTTTATCTTCTTTACACTAAACAATGCATCTCCAACTTGTGACTTATTCATCAAGTATCAACTAAAATCCCTTTTTTGCCAAGTACAATAGATAAATACTTCAATAAAAATCGAGACCCTGTTACACATTCACATGAATAGGATAAAGCTGCTTGGGTTGATTAAACATAATTAAGTTGACAAACTTTACCCACCCTCTTTTTGTTCTTTTTACTCTTTTATGTTGTCACTATCTTAACGAACCTAGCAATGTAATAACATTTACACCCCTACAGTCCAGCTGCCTTGCTGAATTTGTTGGGACTTGTTCAGTTTATCTTAGAGATAATGAGTTCGGATCCACACTTGGGTATTGCTTACTAAATTACCAAGGGTGAGTCAATGGGCGGACAACAAGGTTTCATGCTTTATATAGTTCCCGGGGTCTTCTAAATGATTATGTTTACACCCTACAAATCTTTTAGTGTAGGTTAATGTGACATGTATAGATAAATTACTTAAGTCACTCTATTTCCCATACATCAATGTAGTACTTTATCAGCCAAACTTAGAACTCATCTTGGTTGATATTTGCTATCTTTCCAGTAACTTGAGGTGGAACAAGCTGCAGGATGTCATTCCTCCTGAAATAGGTGAACTGAAGAAACTAACACATCTGTGAGTATTTGCACTCTTTGTTTAGGGGCCGTTGATATATGGAAAGAACAATTAATCGAACAGTTACTCATGTGTCTGCAGGTACTTGAGTTTCAATAGCTTTAAGGGTGAAATCCCCAGGGAGCTTGCTAATCTTCCGGAGCTACAGTATCTCCATCTTCATGAAAATCGCTTTATTGGGAGAATTCCACCAGAATTGGGCACCTTACGGAATCTTCGCCACCTGTACCTTTCAACCTTATGCTACCATATACCTCACCAAAAAGAGTTCACTTAATGAGTTAGTCTTTCCATTTTTCTGCTTAAAAATAAAGAAAAATCTCTCTTTCTGCACAAATTTTTTTAGGCATCTCCTAAAAAGTATTATAAATGAACTTTGTGGAGATATGAAAACTATGTCAAATTTGAATCAATAAAATCATAAGTGGACTCTTTTTTCTTAATATGAAGAGGTATTTATTAAGTTTGCAAATATGATTTGTGTTGACAAGGTGAGAAACTGTCTTTGTAGAGATGTCGGTAACAATCACTTGGTTGGAACTATAAGGGAACTAATACGTATGGAAGGATGTTTTCCCGTTCTGCGCAATCTGTATGTCCATTCTGCTTGGAACTTGATCCTGTTTCCAATTATAACCCTCTGGTTCTATCTACCAATTATGTATATAACATTTTATTTGACTGTTGCATATTTGCAGTTATCTTAATAATAACTATCTGACCGGAGGAATACCAGCACAGCTTGCGAACTTGACTAATCTTGAAATTCTGTAAGTATTGCTTGTGCAAATAACTTTCTGAGATGATAATGTCGTACCAAATTTCTTGAATCTGACGGTAATGGTGATGGTTTCAGGTATTTATCTTACAACAAGATGTCAGGGATTGTACCAGCTGGACTTGCTCATATTCCCAAGTTAACTTACTTGTAAGCATCCCCAAATCTTATCATCTATTGGAACGTGGTTGAAGAAATGTTTCCTATCTGCTTTATAGTGATGGGATGGGCAAAATTGACCGGGTAGGTCTGGGCACCTAAGGATTGGGACTGATTAAGCCTGCCTAGGACCCGTTAGGACTACCAGTTAGGAACGTTCTCAAGATTTTCCCCCTTGAAGCAGTTACCACCAGGATTAATTATATGGACAGGACTGAAGTTGGCTAGGAAAGGTTAGGACTGGGGAAGGTTCTTTTGTACATGTGTAGATTGATTATTAATGTGGTCTTACAAGAATATTTTTCATTATTTGTCACTACTTTAGATGGCTAACCGATTTTACATGGTTGACGTAGAAATTAATCATATGCTTTGTCGTAGATAAACGACTTGAGGTACTTGTAACATCCCAGGCTAATAGTACCAGATATTGTCCGCTTTGTCCAATCTGGACTCAGTTCTAAAACATGTCTGATAGAGGAAATATTCAGTCCCTTATAAGGCAGCCTTTGTTCCCCTTCCCAACCGATGTGGGATCTTATTGTAAACCCCCTTGGGGATCCCAGTGTCCTCGCTGGCACACCAATTTGGTTCCCGGCTTTAATACCATCCAACTAACTGTACCAGATATTGTCTGCTTTGTCCACACCAGGACTCATGGTTTTATAACGCGTCTGATAGAGGAGGTATTCAGTCCCGTATAAGTTATAACGCAACCTTTGTTCCCCATGCCAACTGATGTGGGATCTTACAGTACTGGTCAAGCAGAATTTGCCAAACATTTTTAGTGAGCCTGGTTAAGATTACACTATTAGCAGTATAGTTAATGCCCCAATATGTCTTTCTGCATTCCTTAGAGTTTGGTGGAGTAGGGTCGTTTATCATTGAGGCAAACTCTGTTCTCCTTGCCTGATTTCCAGTTGTTGGTTGTTAATTGTTTCATGCTGGTATCTATACACTTGATTGGTGCTACAAAAGTTATGGCCGGTCCTTGGGAGACCTCTAAGGTTATCCCTTGGTGATCGGCCAGAAGGTCACTACTTTGATTCCTGGAAACAATTTCTTCTCAAAAAAATCCCCTCCGCGACTAAACTGGGGTCACACCCTTGTTACCTATTAGCGGTAGGACCGATGTTATTGTTGCTTATTAGCAGTAGTACCAAAGTTGTAGATGATATTGTTGGTATAAATAGTCAAACAGGTTACACGCACAAGAATGACTGCAGGAAGCAAAAGACATACTCCCAATCTCAAAATAAATGTCCACAATGAAAATGGCACATGGTTTTGGAAATATGTAATCAATATACTTTCTAATTGTACCTTTAATGACGAGGGACTAAAGAATTTCTCATCTCATAATTAATGAGAGCATCTCCAACATATTCTCTATAATTTATTTAAAATATAGAAACAAAAGTTAAAATCTCTAAAAAATTACATTCAACTCCAAGAGATTCTCTATTTTAGAAAATTCAACATTAATTATGTTTATTAAAAATATTCTATTGATTTTATCATCCCAATACACTTTTTAAAAAACATTTTTTTATAAAATAATAATAATTCAATTTCATTGGTGGAAATGAATAAAAGTTCATTTCTCTCCTCACATCAAGTTTTAGAGAATTCTCTCAATTTTGAGTTTTCTCAATTTTAGAGAACATAGAGAATCTATTGGAGTAAAATCTTCATTTGCTATATTTTAGAGAATGTGTTGGAGATGCTCCGATAGAATTGGAAAATAGACACTTTTGAAAGTAGACATTGTATTGAGAGAGACTAAATGTGGACACTTATTTCGGGATGGAAGGAGTAGCATTTATATGGTTCAAGGGTTTACCTGTATTTATGATCATTAATAAGGGGTTGTTTACTAAATGCTTCTTACCGGGTCATTTAGCTTAACGAATGAACATGGCAAGGGCCGAAAATCTTACCTTGTAATAGCGATGATAATGATAGAGAGTCTTACCTGGTAAGTGAGGGTGATGGCTCTTACCCGGTAAGCGTTTACCGGGTAAATTGTTGCATACGATGCCGTTTTGATGGACTACAATCTTACCCGGTAAAGTAAGTTGGAGTGTTGATTCTTACAGGTAAGCGCTCACCGGGTAAGAGTTTAGGTAAACTCCCCCTAAGATTCTTATTATATGTTTGTGAATTGTCTAGTACATTAATAAAATAAAAAAAGACGAACACCATTTATATGAAAGGTTGGAAGAAGATAGTATTGACAAATTCTCACAGTATAGAGTCAAAATGAGGCTTTGTATCTAACAGATAGAGATGTTTTCATTAGTATAAGGTTTCTTTAATCTGATTGAAGCGTTTTGTTATTAGGTACTTGGATCACAATCAATTAAGTGGAAGAATTCCTGATGCTTTCTACAAGCATCCTTATCTGAAAGAACTGTGAGCCTGCCTTCAAAACCTTCAAGAATTACACACACACACACACACCCCCCCACGTAGAGAGAGAGAGAGAGTCTCATTTTACAAATGCAATAACTGGTACAAACTTAGAAACCAGTTTTCATGTATGAAACATATGGGTAAAATGCAGTGTTTATATATCATAAGTGAAATCTTCAAGACCGTTTTCTTCCATATACAAAACATCTTGAACATTTCACATATAAAAGAACATTGTATAAACACTCATTTTCACATGTAAAAGAAGAAACAATACATGAAAATTGTTTTGTAAGTTTGTACAATATATTGGGTTTGTAAATGATTATAGGGTTTGGTTCACGTGAAACCAACCTGTTTCGTGAGACTCATGAGACCATAAAAAATAACATTGATATTTCACAGCAAAACATTGTGAAAGGTACAAAAAACACTCTGAAGGTTTACCTCCAAAGTGGTTTGCTGTGAAGTTTCAGTGTTAATTTATTTGGTCTCACGGGCCTCGCGGATCTAAAGTCTATATATACACACACACATTTGCTTCACATTGTTTGTTTTTGCAGATACATCGAAGGGAATGCATTCCGGCCAGGCGTGAACCCAATTGGTATTCATAAAGTACTCGAATTATCAGACTCCGATTTCTTGTTTTAGTCAACTTCACTACCCAATTTTATGTTCTACTCAAACGAAGCACGATACAAGAATTCCCAAGTTTTGTTGTCAACAGTCTACCTCTTATCAATGAGAAAATTACCAACTGTGTCTCAAGATTCTCTTTGTATCCCAAACGGGAATACCATTTCTATAGCTTGGTTAGAAAATTTCAGTCGACTTTGGAATGGGTATTATAACAGCATGTATTTCCTCGGTTATGATTGGGAACCTCGGTTGTTATAGCTTATGATTTTACCATGAGTTTTTTTTTGTTTGTTCATAATCTGTCTAGTGACTAGCATCTCAAATTACAAGTGTGCAGTTCTTAATATATTACTCCCTCCATTTCAAACTACGAGCTTGTTTGTTTACCTCTTAATAGTTCAATAAAGAGGCAACATCTGAATCGTCAAAAGTTGAATCTTGTTTGACAAAAAAAAAGCTTGCATCTTAAAGATTCTAAAATTCTTTGAATGATTTTGTATGTTGGGACTACCTAAACCATCCAGAGACCTAATTTCATTATGAATAATTACCAAACAATCATATTTCATTTTGCATTATATCACAACAGTCTTTTAATCATTCTGACAACTTAATCATTCTATATCAAATCATTCGGCAATTGTCAAAAAACCTCTAAATGTCCATTGTAAAAGTGACACATAATTTTAGATATACATTATTATTACACTGACAATTTACCCTTTTACCCTTAATTAATTTATCTCTTTTCCCAACCCTTGAATATTTTTTAAATTGGGCACTTATCTTAGAATAAATTCTAATAGAAATGTGAATTTTTGTTTTGGAACGTATTCAGTAGTAAAATTACAGGAAAAACCATTCACATGGGGTGAAAATACAGTTGCACTTGCACACGAACAAGTTTAAAAATTTGGGACTTGGTCTGGCACAATTTGGTCCCAAAAAAAGTCCAATCAATTTTTATAGTCTGATTCGTTTAGAAAAATAAAAATTAACAGAGTTAACTCACAAAAATCTGATTCATGATGATTTTATGAACCTGTCTTCTTTCGATCTGGAACATCAGACCGTTATAACAAGTTTGATGATATTTTTTAGCAGTTGTTTATGGGTTTACCTCTTAAAATTCGTTGCATTCGCATATCAGTACCATCAAATTCGAGTATGATTTATGTCGTTAATATACATAAATAGTCAAACATCTCTAATCCAACACCAAATCTTTTTTTATTCTATTCCAATCCAACATCATATTTCATTTTTCATAGCATTTTTTACATTATGCTAAAGTGACTCAACACTAACTTTTGCACCATTTTTGTACTGAAATAATATTGCACCAAATTTGGTGTTCTTCTATTCATAAAAACAAATTTAAATAAAATTATAAAAGCATTAGTCAAAAAATTTAAAAAGGTTCATTTACCCAAATGCTTATCCAGTAAGTGCTTACTGACAGTAGTTAACACTATAATTTATTTTGATGCATAAGATTTTAGTGCATGAAAACATATGAAATGCAACAACTTACCGGGTAAGCGCTTACTTGAGTAAGAGTCGTCATTCTCACTTACTTGGGTAAGAGTCATCATCCTTCTAATGGTTCTTACCCAAGAAGATCGTTGACCCTTGTCATGTTCATTTGATGAGGAAATTTATTAGGTAATCACTTACCGAGTACACATTTAATAAACGGTGTCCAACTTAAAAATAAGAAATATACTTGAAATATTTTATTTGGTGTTAGAAGTAAACAAGAAAAGATAGTATAATGGGTTGAAGATTAATTATTATTTACATCAAATTTTACCCACTTTTGATGCAAGAATCAAAGCAATAATGAATATGAATCATCATCAGTACATTCAACGATAGTTTGGGATCAGAGATACCGATTAAATCGATTTGACGAGAGAGATGGCAAAATCCTAAGTATCTGAATCAATTTTCACATCAAATTGATTTGAGGAGAAAGAAGAAATGAAATAGATGTTGAATTATGTCTTCCTTTGACAGTTGATCCTAATGACAGCAAGGGGATTGATATTAACTGAATGCAACCAAAATTTGCTCTATGGATGCTACTAAATTCTCAGGATTTGATCAATAGCATTGTTTGGGAAGAGAGTTGGTTTGCATCTAAGAAAACAATGTCCTGCTGAAAGATCAATAGAATCAACTTAAATCAAACCTCAACTTCCTGTTAATCAAACTCGATATCATTCATCTTCAAAGTTGAATAAAATCAAACACAATTTCCTGTTCAACATTTAATAGAATCAGTTCAAACAAACACAGTTATTTGAATCCGATATGATTGCGCTTCTTGAGTATTTCAACAAAATCAGCTACCAATTGAATCCTAATTTATCAGATCCGACATTCACGTAGATTTATAATCCCAAAAAGTTGAAGGAAGAAAACAGTAGCTAATCCAACAATAATCATCGATCAAAATATCGCGATTCTTCAAGCAGATCAGGAAAGCTAACCTTATTCTGAAATTGACTCGATGATTCTACCACGAAGATTTCTTAACGCCATGCAAAAGACCACCAGAAGCTAAATCACGAAACACGATACGAGAAACTCGAAACATCTGATAAACGGAACGAGCACGACCAGTGAAAACACACCGATTCATCACTCGAGTAAATGAACTATTTCTCGGTAAATCAGCCAACTTACCACGGAATTTCTCCCGCACATCATTCGGAAGATCGGTATCTTTAGCGAACGCTTTGTATAGCTTTCTCCTCAATTCGAACTTCTCAGCGAGCAATCTGCGTTTTTGATCTTGTAGATTCCGATTATCCGACATGTTAAGACCCATTGCAATCTAGTGTTCTTGAAGAGCGAGTTCGAGACCTGCAGTTCGCAATGCTTGAAGACGCAGAGGAAGAACAACGGCAGGGGCAAAGTTAGGGATCAAATGAATTGGGAGCAAATCTGAACCCTAGGATTTACCATATTATGTAAATTACAAAACCAGTCCCTTTACTATTGCTCAATCCAGTTGTGGTCCAAAGCTTCTATCTTTTACATTCACTGTCCACTCATAAGTTTAGTTTCATTCGATTATGGGCCTGTTTGTTAGCAGCTTATTGAGTTTAATGAGACTCACAACTTATTCAATTAGCTATACATGATTGTTTGGTTGCAGCTTTGCAAGTTTGTTGTGACTTAATGATATAGAAAATGGTTTATTCAGTAAGTTTCTAGGGATGAGTTTATGCAGAAAATCAAGTTTTTTTAAATAAAAAAAACCCTACTCCTATCAATTAAAAAAACGCTCATTCTATTTATAAAAAAACTCTAACAACAATTTTCCCAATATGTACAAATATATTAATTCACACATAACAACTTTATCTATACATGATTTAAAAGAAAAAAAAACAACCAAACAACTAATCTAATCGTGTGTTTTGTTACATACCTTCTCTACTGGACTGGAGATAAAGGCTTTTTTGCTCAATGGACAAAATTGCCCTCAATTGAACTTCACAGGTTCACGAAAAGCATATTTGTAAGAAAAACTAAGGTATTGTTTGATAAAAATAAGCTAGCTTATTTTTTGAATACACGGTTAGATGCACATAAGTTAACTTATTAAAACGCTATTTGAAGTGTCGTTTTGGTAGCTTATTATCATTTTTTTTTCAATTATAATCCTCATTAATATTAAATTATTATACACTGCTATTAATTATAAATAAATGTTAATAAAATTTAATATAAATTAAAAATTAAACTTAATTATACATTAATATCATTTATTAATCATTTACAACGATTATTTATCATATCAATAATTTTCATATTATTATTTTTAATTATTATTAAAAATATATGGTTATCAAAACGTAAACATAACAATTTTAATAATATTTATGTAACATAAAAATTAAAGGTATATTTATTTTATTTCATAGATGATAAAAATGTGTTAAATAATTTTAATTTTTCTTTTAATTTAATTATTAAATATCTTTTTAGAAAAAAAATATTAATTAATTATGATATGTGAGGCTGACCATTTCTATTTTTATTCATCTTATATGATATGTGAGGCAGACCATTGTTTTGGGTCAATGGATGAAAATAGAAATCAATTACAAACGAAATTGTTTTATTCATCTTATATGCACATTGTTGATTCATAGACAGACGAAAAATGTCAAAATTAGGTCTGAAAAAAGCTTTCTTGTGATTACGACAAAGCATAAGGTTTGGAGTTTCGAACTACCGTAGCGACTGCTGCATTTGGCGTTAGTTTTGTAGAAAACTAGAAGATGATATTAAGCCTGGTCCAAGCTCAAACCTGAAGAAGTTTTCAACAGATGAAAGATTATACTTATTTAATACTGATTATCAATTGTACTTGTCCACAATAGTGTTGTTTCATAAGCTTCTTGACCACTTAAGATTGTGAAGAAAAAACCTCCTTACCCAAATTTGTTTGCTTGTGCAATTAAGGTTATGGTTGGTAAAATGGTTAATAAACTAGCTGATGAATAAATCATGTTTGACAAAATCAGCTGATAAGAATGTAAGATGACAAAAAATAACATTTTGAAAAATTAATCAATTATAATATTTCAAAATATAATTGAAACAAGTCTTTAATAATATAATATATTAATTAATAAAAACA